TCCTAGGACATTGTTCTTAATTATTATTTTTTTTGTTTCTTTCTCCAGATACTTGTGAAATAACCATACTCTACCTTATTCTATTTCACAAGCCATCAGCCTTGCTAAATTGGTTAAAGATAAGATTCACAACTCTAAAGACAAACTTTTTCGGCCATTCACACACACTACCTCTACCTAGAATACTTCACCACCCATAACCCGTAGTCACGCACTACCTACTCTCTCTCCCACCCTACCCCTGAAACACCTCACCCTAGCCCAGTTGCTAGAATGTCAAGTTCAAGGACTTTGTTAAATTTTGATGAGAAGTTCACACCTAGTCATAAATGTACCACCTCTAGTTTTTGTACTTCTCTTAGATGACACATATTCAGCCACAACCAAACTACTAAGGAACACCCTTTACCAGATCTACAAGACACTATCCATGCTTGTATGTTGTGGCAATCAGCATGCCTTTTCCATGTAAACATGCTAGCTCTGCATATTGAATCTATTACACATGTAACTAATCACGAAAGATTTGTTTGATATTCACATTGAAAATGTGAGTGATAAGCATACACATAAACTGCTTGAAAATTGAAATGGAAAACTGATCAAATAGTTTAGGAAACCATATACCTTCGACCATTTTGCTGCCTTTATATCTCTGGAACTTTTGTTGATTACAGTGAAATTTATATGCGTTTGATTGGATAAAATTTTTATGGTGTTCTAAACTTTAGTAGTTGAATCTATTTATTCATCTAATTCTTATGGGAAATTTGAATGCTAGTTGATTAGGCTGTGTTTTAATACTGTGCTTCAGCAATTTAGCATTCAACCCATCCCCTCCTTATTGTTGTTGCTACACCTCTCACCTTTCCAAATACTTATCTTGTTCAATGTGTATCACCCTGTTGCATAGCTGACATAAAATTCAATTGTGTATAGGTTCCAATCACATTTGTTGATAGAGTATATGGAAGTTCAAAGCTTGGTGGATCAGAGATTGTTGAATACCTGAAAGGCCTAGCATATCTTTTGGTGACAACATAAAAAGAAAAATCATAACTCGTGTTGGGGGAGGTGGGGAGGGGGCACTAGGGTATAAATTTTATTCGATTAACTTTTTGAGGACATTAGCTTGGCTGCTAGAATCTGCATAGTTTCTGTACAATACAATCTTTGTCTTTTGAATCTATCAAAGGACATTCTCTGTTTTTATAACTATTAACGTGGATCATCAAAGGATATTCTCTGTGACTCTTAGATGGACATCGATATTGGATCTACCTCTGAATGTGTGTTTAGTTGAGAATTTTTCAGCCAAAACACGTGATGCTAAGAGAGGAAAAGTGTAGGTATAACAGATGATATGGTATGGTAGGAAGGAAGGAAGAAAGAAATAGTGTTAATTGAATGTCTGATATATAGGAGTTATATAATTCCTTTTCAGTGAATAATATTGCGTGACCTTACCTTATGCATTGAGCTGTTTTAAATTTGTACGCCTCATCGATATTACAGGTTAAAATATTATTTATTTATTAATATTAGTTATTCAACATATATTGTTATAAACTTGATATACTTAATGGTGGCCTAATATAGTTGAAGTGAGTAAACTTCGGTAATAGATGGTGATTTTACTTGGATCTTGAGTGTGGACTTGTGGATAGGTGGTAAGATCATAATAATAGTTTGATAGCTTCTTTTGTTTGGAAAGAGCTTCCTTGTTGTTAAGAGGGGAAGATCTACTTGTAAAATATTCTCTTACGTTCGTTTAAGTCAGTTAGAGAGTTAAAATCTTTGTATGATTGAGTGTATCAGTGTTTATGATAGAGTGTTTAGAGTGAGTATTCTTTAGGGAATCCTAGTTGTATTTATAAGATCAATATGGACTTCAAGTCTATGTTCCCATTAAAATAATACTTATTTAGAAAGTATAATAATAGTATAATAAATAGTAAAAGAATGATAAATAATAATATACATACTAAATTACCAAGATTTAGTTATAATATGTAAATATGGCGAAAAATAGATGTATGTTTGAGGTCTTCCATAATGAATGGAAGAGGTTTTAAAGGTTTTATTGAGTCGTACTCTTTACTATGTTTATTGAATTAGATAAGAACATATGATTTTTTAACTATAAAGTAAAAGCTTACTAGATGATCTTGATCCATAAAAATTTGATTTAACATGCATTAATTCTAGAATAGCAACCATGAACCATTCCATTGAAGCCATGCATAGATTGACGTCCACCGTAAGACCACGAACCACTCACGTCAGTCGCGTTCACCTAACACCTTTATCGATGAAGAAGAATTGCTCAATTATAGCTCCCTAAACCTTCAACGTAAATGAAACATCTTACACCAAAATCACACCACCATAAAACAAAAATAGTCACAATCACAAGCCCCAAACTCCTTTGTGCAAGCCGTCATCGTGCTTCCATCACCAACCTATATTTGCATCTTCACCCACGCACAATCCAAAATGCCTCTGCAACCACCTGAAGTAGCATTCAAATTGTAATTTTAAGAAAGAGAGAGTTGTCACATGGTACTCCCTAATTGGACAGTCAACATGTTAAACAATCAAAGTTCAGTAAAAATATTTTAAGTGGATCAAACAAAATGGACTAAAATGAAAAATATCTTTAGAGTTTTTTTGCAATTTTGGATTTATATGAATGAAAGACTAAATTAGAAATTAGGAAAAATTCAATTGTTGATAATTTAATAGATATTTTATAAAATAATTAAGTTAATTATATCTTAAATTATCAATAGAAAATACCTATGAAATAGTTCTAAAAATTGATCCAATTTGTTATTTATTTGGAAAATATTACAATACTAGATAAGAGATTCTGTCAATAGAAAAGTTAGAATCTAAACACAACAAAGTTCTATATAAAAAGACCTAAGACAAGTAGAAGAGAAACAATTAGAAACTCTAGTTTTGTTCAGTTGTCATTGTTCTTTTGATTATTGTTGAGTTATTTTTTATCTATGTCTTTTGTTTTTGAATTATACAAAAGATAATGATTTTATGTCATAGTTAATTAGAGAGATGTTTTAATCTATTATTATTAGTAGATTTCGTACTTGGACTAGGCTTAAAATACGTTCATTTATGATCGGATACCAGTTTATGTGTATTTCAGCTAAACTGTATTAACGTTCGGTTTCCTTAAAAGTATTAGGTTTGATGAATAGTTTGTAAGAGTAATTATAAGTGTTCAGTATAAGCTTTAAGCGTTCGGTTTTTTCAGATAGTGAAATAGCGTTCGTTCTTGTTTTGAGAATAGTAGAATATCGTTCGTTATTACTTTGAGGATAGTGAAATACCATTCGTTCTAGTATTGAGGATAGTTAAATATGGTTCGGTCTTATATTAAGTATTTGGTTTAATTAGAGTGTTCTATTCTTAAGTTGTGTTCGGTTCATGTCAAAGTCCTATCTATTAAATAAACGTTCGGTTATATTCGTATGTTGTTTAGATCCTTTCCGTTCGTTTGTAATTAAGGGTGGTGTTATTTGAGCGTTCGATCTTCTTATATGAAATGTGGTTTGATCTTTCAATGTTGATGTTATGGATTGGTGCTGGTTGCTTATTATAGCAATGATCTATTATGTATGGGAAGTATTATTGGTATTCAAGTAAAAGTTTATGTTTCAAGTAATGTGGAAGAGAATTCCGTGGAGGAATGTCTCAGTGTAAGGATAATGTTGTGGTAAAGTATGAATACGGACAGTGAAATTCACGGAGTTCATCCTGATATTCTGATTATTACCTGTTCTCAAGTAGATATGGGTAAGTCATTGTGTGAGAATGTTAGGATGTCCTATCCCATAGGTTCTTGGGTGAGTTATAACGGACTAACCTCGGGTGGCAGCGGATGGTTTTCCAGTTAGTACACCACCCGAGTGCACAAACGGCCTCAAGCTACGCATTCATACAATCCGGATGGTCAAGTCAAGTGTCAGTCGTATGTGAATTATGATATTCAAGTTATGTGTGATATCTACGTTGGCTCTTGTATGCTGTAGCGTTCAGTCTGTAATGATTTGTAGTTTTATTTCATGTATGAATGCATGCTCAATTGAATTATAGTAGCTTACCCTTATTTTCTGTTTTTATCCATGTTGTCGTTCGGTTTTCTATTGCAATGATCATCCTTGTTGGATGTGAGCAAAAGGGGAAGATCTTACTTTGGAACAGGAGCTGGAAGGTGAGACTCCTGCTGAATAAGAAATGATTGTTCGGTCATATAGTATAGATAGTTTTGGTGAACCGACCGTTCACTATTTTGTTTTGTAAACATAACCGTTCGGTTATATAATGAACGTTCGATAATATTATAGAAAGCTCTTGTAAAGTTCGAAAAAAATTTTATAGTTATTTTTGTAATAACTGTAAGTTTGACTTTATTATTTTAGTAAGTGTTCTATCATATTATTAAATGTTGACAGCTGTATATAGTTGTGTGCCATATTACACTAATAACATTAACTTCTATGTATCAAATTTTGTGAATTTTTAATTTTAAGAAAAATATTACGTATCAAAATTAAAATCTTATGTCACATATCTTTATCACATGATAATATCCTTATTTGACATATGGCAAAACTATTTAAAAGAAAATAAAAAAAATACATATAAATTAATTTCATCATTACTAAAAAATTAAATTGCATCGCATTTTAAAATTAAAAATAAAGTTCAATTATGATTAATTAAAATCTGAAAATCTAATTAAAATTTTCAAATAAAATACGAGAACCAATATAATATTTAAACCATAATCCTTTAGTGAGAGTAAAACTTTTCCCATGGCGAAAGCAACGTTAATAAACATTTTCACTTGAGTTAGTTAGTGAATGCGGGTTGTGGTATAAAATATATAGTTAATAATTTATATTTAATTTTATTGAAAAATATTATTATGAATTATTTTTAATGAGGGAATGGTGCATTGACCTGATATTTTGTGAATAGGACAAAAGCTAGATATGAAAAGTGACCAACAGAGTATGGAGTGGCATAACGAAAGCAGGAGAAACGAGAAAGAGAAACGACCAAAACAGTGAATGAAATCTTCCATGTTAAGCCAAACCGCTAAGCAACGTGAATAACACAACACAAAGGAAGAAGAAGGCGCATACAAACAAAACAATGGCTTCCACCTTTTGCAGTTCTTCAATTGCCCTTCCTCATTCTTCAATCCACTCTCTCCAATCCCTTCCCACTAATTCGCTCTCCCAAACCACTGGTACATATCCCAACCTTTGTTTTTGCGTCTGATTGTGATGTGATTTTTAACGCTTCTCTTCTTTCTTTTGTGGCTTTGCAGTGCAGATATATGGGCCCAAGTCTTACGGAGGATTTGGGTTTCTCGCCGTCAAGGGAAGGTCTCCGTTCCCAGTGGCGAGTGCTGTTGCCGCTCAAGTTAACGCTTCAGAACAGGTATGTTACGGATGTTCCGATTCTACAGCCACAATTTTTAACAGGGTATTCCCCTTCCAAGGAAACTAAATTTTGTGTTGTTCGAGTGATTGTTAGCATAGCATACATTGGGGACATAGTTTTTGGACCATTGTATCTATGTTTCTATTGAATTTTCACATAAAAGGTGTGGTTGGACAAGGGAAGAAATCTCAAATGAAGGAAAGGTTAGGGCAATGGGGTTTATACTCTATGTAGCCTTCAATATCTTCAAACACTGTTAGGTTTTACTCAGTCGTTTTGCTCCTCATCATTAACTTTTTAAATGAGCTTAATTAAAAAAGCATAATTTTTATTTTTTTTTGTCTTCGTTCCATCATGAAATGCCGTGTAAGGTAACTTATGTTGATTTTTTTTTTAATAATTACTTTGTGTATATATTTATAAAGTTCGTAAGGTGTAATAAATATACAATTGCAATTTTGTAAATCCAAATTAAGAACATTCTTCTCGGACAATGACATTACTCAAACAGAATAAGATCTGTAAATCCTTAACATCATAAATCATTTCTAGAAATATGTATATTACCAATTTCATTTCTTTCTTGAAGTTATCCATAAAATGGACAATTTCTATTTTTTGTTCAAGGGACAGTGATTTGATGTTTCTTTGCTATACATTCTTGTATGCTTATAAATACTACTAGATTTTCATAACTTCTGTAAAGGGTTGGACATTTCATCAGTATTTATCTCTGAAGCAAGTGAAAGTATCTGTGCTTTAAAGTTGGTTGCTGATGTAAAATCTTTACGGTTATGTGTATAAAATTTGGCCCTTTAACCTCTGTGGTTCCTTTTTTTGGTTTTCCGTTTTGATGACGTCTCAAGTCTGTAAACTTAATCCAGGCTCAGAAGATTTCTTTTAATGAAAGCCAGAGGCCAGTGTATCCATTTTCTGCTATAGTGGGGCAGGACGAAATGAAGCTTTGTCTTCTCCTAAATGTGATTGATCCCAAGATTGGAGGTGTAATGATCATGGGGGATAGGGGAACAGGGAAGTCAACAACTGTTAGATCATTGGTTGATTTGCTTCCTGAAATCAAGGTTGTTGCTGGTGACCCATATAATTCAGACCCCGAAGATCCTGAATTCATGGGTGTTGAAGTGAGAGAGCGTGTGTTGAAAGGAGAGCAGCTTCAGGTTGTCTTCTCCAAAATCAACATGGTGGATTTGCCATTGGGAGCTACAGAAGATAGAGTGTGTGGGACAATAGACATTGAGAAGGCTCTCACTGAGGGTGTAAAGTCCTTTGAACCAGGCCTTCTGGCCAAAGCTAATAGGGGAATTCTGTATGTTGATGAAGTTAACCTTTTGGATGATCACTTAGTTGATGTATTATTGGATTCTGCTGCATCAGGTTGGAACACGGTTGAGAGAGAGGGCATATCAGTCTCTCATCCCGCTAGGTTTATCCTAATTGGTTCAGGCAACCCTGAAGAAGGAGAACTTAGGCCACAGCTGCTGGATAGGTTTGGAATGCATGCTCAAGTAGGGACTGTGAGGGATGCTGAGCTAAGGGTGAAGATTGTAGAGGAGAGAGCTTGTTTTGACAAAAACCCAAAAGGATTTCGACACTCTTACAAGGCTCAGCAAGAAAAGCTCCAGCAACAAATTGCCTCAGCAAGGAGTTTTCTTCCTTCTGTTGAAATTGACCGTGATCTCAAGGTAAAAATCTCCAAGGTTTGTGCAGAGTTGAATGTGGATGGATTAAGAGGAGACATTGTGATAAACAGATCTGCAAAAGCTCTTGCTGCCCTCAAGGGGAGTGTCAAAGTAAGTGTAGAGGATATTGCCACTGTCATTCCCAACTGCTTGAGGCACCGTCTTCGAAAGGATCCCTTGGAATCGATAGATTCAGGTTTACTTGTCCTGGAGAAATTTTATGCGGTTTTCCGCTGAACGTGGTACAACACGGTCTGTCTTTTCTAGGGTTTTTTCAATATTTTGCCACTTAGTTTTTTACATTTTAGCCTTTTCTGTGGGGATGAACACGAACGAGATGTTGTATAAAAGCTTACATAATCACGAACAATATTTTCTAAGGCGTGTATTGTGCAAGTCTTTCAGAATACAAAAGAATTTTTCAAAATAATTTTAGAAGAGGAAAAAAAGAAAGGAAAATAGAGAAAATTGCTTTTTTGGTGTGTTTTAGAACAGGGGAAGAGCTCTCTATTTATAGAGTTAAAAAAGAATAAAATTAATAAAAGACAATAAAAGCAATAAAAGACAATAGATAATTTAAGCGGCACTTAAAAAATTTGACTGTTGTTAATTAATAAAAAAATATTAACGTTGTAAATTAATGAAAGAATATGAATGTTGTAAAACCAACGTAACTTTTGCAATATTACAACACTGAGATTCAGAAATCTTGTGTATAAATGAAACTCGAGTATAAATGAAACTCGAGGTCTTTTGCGTTGTACGGTGTGAGGATCTATAGTTTCTTCCGAACGTGGAATCTACTGAGTGAGAATGGTACTTCCCATCAGTTTCTGAACCGAACATTCATAAATAAATTGCAGTTCCTTTTTTTTAGTTTTGAATAAAGTAGTATTTTGCTAAATTTTTAGTCACTAAGTGCATCTAGGACTATTAGACGCTACTTTAAGTGATTCAATCTCCAAAAGTCTCTAAACTTTATGATGTATTAACAAGCGATGCGATGGACCTTCTTCCTTTCTTAGTAAACACTTGCTATGGTTTTCAGAACTTTGCTGTGATTTTTTCTTTTGCATTATTAAGAACAGATGTAAAGTACAAAGATACAGAAAAAAAATGAATTCAAGGTAATGTAGTATCGTTTGATACATTCTGTGGAACCTTGAATTTAGGATTCTGCTCTACGAAAGCTGGTGGCCGTTGGTACACAACTGATGCAGCTCTAATCAAGATCCCAGCAGTTAAACCCCATATAAGGTATTTTTTATGCCCGACACCATAGTCAAAGAAATGCAACAAAAACTTCTCTCCCATCCACTCCCTCTCCTCCTGCCTCCGATTTTCATCCTGGTTAAAGTGATGACATCAGATACGTGATATAAAGAATGAAGATGACACGATATCAAAATGAAAAGAACAAGCATAGACCTTGAGAAACATTTCCAAAGGTGCATCAAATACTGCTTCTACTTCAGCTGGATTTAGAACAGGTTTGAAGGCTTTCTTGTCATTAAGTATGCCAATGACGGGAACTACCCGTAAAAGATGCTACAAATAAAACAGTGTCAAGTAAAAGTACTGGAGGGAAATTTCCCATTCAACCCATAATATGAAGCGCATGTGAAATGAAATAGACTATCCAATGGGAGTTTAAACATTAACATAAATGTGATGATAAACATGGTTAGAGTTTATTTTTAATGTTGCAGTGTCAGTCTAATAGGAAATATATACACTTCTGTTCATGTTTATAAGTATACAATCCTTTTACACATCAAACTATCAAAGAATAACAATAAGTTAAGAACTAATAAGATAATGAAGGGCCGTCAGCCACTTTTTTTTAGCATTTACGTAGAAGCTGTGTATTCATTGACAATCTTTACTCACTTCAATGATACATGCAGTCTGTAACAAGTAAGGACACTCTATATGTCTGCGAATTTCTTCAATGTTGAAGAAACAAAAAGCCAAAACAAGTCATTCAATGTAACATTCCTTACTAGATAGTTGAAAAAGAAAGCTCATCAGTTTGTCTTTTTCAGATACAAATTCCTAATATAACAATGGACACAACTCTGGGTAATAACACTCGAAATATTAACTGACGGTATTTATCTTAGTGTAAATCCATTACTCAGTACATTATGTGTACGATCAACAAAGACAAAACTCACAATTCGTTAACAAATACTCTATACTTCAACTGAACTTCATTTTTCTGGATAGAGAATTTGAGTTTATTCAAAATTTAGTAGAAAAAACCCTGGTGTGATATTAGAAGTCACTGAGTTTCAGAGTTTTTTTTAGATCAAACGATCGTTCATGAATCATTAAGCCTCAATTTATCGTCCTTTCACATAACTATTTCATGAAACAAAGATAACGTAAATTACAAATTTAACATACAAATTCCTAATCATAAATAAACGCTGAACACACAACTTTGCTTTCACCCAGAAGCAAGTGAGAACAGAGATCCATCTAAAGTTACACTAATAATTCAAGCTAGTGAAAAGTATCAAATAGAACACACAATACCTTAGACAAGAATGGTTGAAGAACAGTAACAACATTGACAAGTTCCGGGTCCAACCCAATTTCCTCCTTTGCCTCTCTTTTTGCAGTGTCCCCATCATCCTTATCCCCCTCCTCCGCTTTCCCACCGGGCAACGCCACCTCACCTGTAAAAACAACACATGAAACAAACAATTCACCCTCAATCCCCATAACCCAAATTACATTTATTTTAAAACAAAATTCAACACCATGAAAAGAAAAACGATAGAAACTTCGTTTAGACTGACCCGAGTGAGTAGAGAGCTTGGAAGAACGCTTAGTGAGAATGACTCTTAGATCCCCATCATCCCCTTCAAAGAGGCAAATCAAAACAGCAGCTTTTTTGGGTCTGAATTTTTCTGGGTTTTGACCAACTGGGGTTGCCGCTTCTGGAAAACCCACCTGCGTAACAACCTTTCCACCACTTTCTTCAATCCGCTGCTCCACAATATCTTCAGGGAAAGAAGGGGCCTTGTACTGTCGAAGGTGCTGTGCCAGCGTAAAAAGCCTCTGAGATCCTCCCGTGCCCACGTTGGAAGAAGAATCCATGATTTTAGAGATAGATGATGCTCTGGGTAATAAAGATCTTATTGTTGCTGATGTTCTCACAAAGGAAACCATGTGCATCACAGTTAAAACAGAACCTCCAACTACTCAATCTGCTTTATACACACTTTCTCTTAAACTAGGTACAATGCATTTTTTTAAGAAATCAGTTAAAGTTGAAATACGTGTCCAGCATGAACACAATATACATATATATAAATATATATATATATATATATATATATATATATATATATATATATATATATATATATATATATATATATATTATCGAAAATAACTGTTTTTCCTAAAAGGTTCTGCCAATGTTTATTTAACACAAAAATGTAATGATTAATGAGGGGGATATAAGGTGGAATTTAATTTATGAAAAGGGATATAAAAGTACTACCAATGTTTCTTTGAGTGATAAATATAATTTTTGTCGAGTGGCATGCATTATGAATAATAAATAATAACCATTTTCATATTGTCGATATGGACACAATCTCATGGTGTGTTTATTTTGACTTTTGATAAACGCTTAATGAGAATGACTCTTAGATCCCCTTCATTGGTTGCATGCTGTAAAATTTGATCGTGAAATCTAAAGAATATAATGTTTTTTTTTCTACAAGGATTAGTTTTGTTTAGAAAGGCTCCTAATAAGAAAAAAAAATCAGCATCTTTTTGGGTTAAAATTTTTTTATATATTAGAAAAATTATCTAAAAAATTGAATATTATTCTCTTTAAATACTAGCTTCTTAAATTTTAGTTTAGAAAATATTAAGTTGATATTTTCTTCTTCTATTTATTAACTTCTCCATAAACTAAAATTAATTTATATATAAACTATATTAAATATCCTTTCTAGATTTCTTTAACTTGTCTTTAAAATAATTCTAACTTATAAAAATTTATTTATTTATCTTTGTTACTATGGACTTATAGTCAATCCATAAAGGATTGAACGGTCAACGTGTGGGAAGAAGAAACCTCTCAGTTGCTTGGTTCAAGCAACAATTATGTGCAATCATTACGGTAACGACTACTGATGATTGGTTAAGACAGGTATTAAATGATCATTAAGAGGTAAATTAATTGGTAATTCTAACTAACTTGAGCATCGTAATGTATTATGCAGGTCACTCCCACATACCGATCGATGCATCACTCAAGAGGTTATCCTCGTCCCAATTCACCCGAAATAATCTTTTTTTTCTCACCTAAAATCTTTAGGAAGAATTTTGTTTAAGCAATTCTTTATTTTGTTGTTATCTCCTTGGAATACTAAAGTCAGACCATCATGTTTTACTTTAATTAAAGTCAATCACCTATTGCATTGAGGATATTGGTTCAAATGAATTAATTATATAAATGATTTTTTTTTAAAAAAATAAGTTGTACATGCATTGGGGATATTAATTATATAAATGATTTTTTTTATTAAAGTCCATCCCCTTTTGCATTGAGGATATTACTTACTTATATGTCTGCATATTTTTTTTCACTTTTTTATGAACTTAACATATCTCTTCCCAACAAATTCCTTCTACATTCATTTAATGGACTAACCCATTTCATTTTTATTTTCATAAACAATTATGAAAAATAGTGGTGCGGCCACGAACATGTAAAAATCAGAAAAAGTTTATTAACTTACAAAACTAGTAATACAGTTGAAAAATGACATGTTATGTTATGTTATATATGCGATGATGATAAAATTAAGCATCAAGAAATTAGCAAGAGAATCACAGCTTCAAAATCTTTATACAACAAACGAAGTGGGGAAAAAGAACTGTTAATCTTTCTATAATTCGTCTCAACAATGCACTAAATATACAATATTGAAGATAACAAAAACCAATCAACAAATCACACAAATGCTGGTTTGGTGGTCCATTTTCTATCCCTAAGATTGAATTTCACTCGCATTCATATGCACAAATTGGAAGCAATCCAATAAATAAAGGAAAACAGATTGCCTTTTTATCTTTATACACACTGTAACTGTAACCACTTAAAAACCAATTTCACTGCTAATGGTAAACGATATATCCTTGATAAAGTATGCATGATTATGTTGTTTGCATCAGCTAGAGTACACTCATTGCTTTCCTTCCTGCACTGTTTTTTTCTCTGTAGCAGGGTAAGACAATCTTCTTCTAGCTTTAGCAGTTCCTTTGGGAATACCTAAGGGTTTAGTCCCTTTATCATTAGCTGAAGGAGTTTTAACTGAAACTGGATGTTTTGATGTTGATGGTTTCTTATCCTTTTTAACTTTGCTTGACAGCTTATTTTGATATTTCCTGGGGCTAATGGTAACACTAGGGGCACGGCTTTCCCAAGGGCGTACAGCAATCCAACGGTCCTTCCAGCTCCAACTCCAACTAGCTTTGCCAAGTTCATAATTGCCTAGGCCTTGGGTAGAGTTGGCCCTCCACTGTGTTGTTCATAAGATATGCACATGATTTTCTGAAGAACCAAGGGAAACAAGGTGTTGTGACTATTACTCGTTAATAAGATTTAACCTACCTGATGAGAGAAGGCATATGCCATACTTCTTTCCCGTTTAACTGATGCTTCTTCTCGTAGGTGTAACCTTGCAAGGCTTTTCTCCATGGTTTCAGAACCACCACTCCATTCCACCTGTTATTTGTTTAAACTGTTGGTCAAGAAAAGGGTGACTGAAGAGGGTTCTATCCATTTCTTGTATCTGATGAAATTATTGCATTGCACACCACTATTAAAAAAAATCAACAAGAGATTTCACGCATTTCATCTTTAATTGAATAGGAAATACTAATATCTGGAATCTGATTTCAATTAGGTACACATGTTTTAGGATATCTCGTTAAGAATTTCAACTTGGTAGTATAGAAAACAGAAGAGGGAGTTTCTACAAAGATAGAAATGCATTCTATGATATCTAATATAACAAGATAGGATCCTCTGTATAAACAAAACTGTATTTCTTAACTAAAATTCGACCATTGCCTTTCCATGAAATAAACAACTTCATATTGAAGATTCAATAAGAGGAAATGAGGAAAATGTGATCACAGTGGTAAGTAAGGGCATGTTTGTTATGCCCAAAGATTTATATGCATGTGAGAGATTTTGAACAAACTGACTCATGTGGAGACTCTCCACTCACGACACCGTTTCAATCACTTAATGCATTGGCCATTTACTAATCACATAGAAAACCGTAAAGAGATCTGTAAAATAATACCACATTATATACATATTTCAAACAGAGAAGCCAATGAAACCATACATATACATTTGGCTATTGATATATAATCATAGTAGTGGAGAGACTGATCAACAAACTGGAACCAGTTCGAGAAGAAAGCAAATCCATTATATGATGACTGAAAATTTATTAGCTGTACAAGCCAGCATACCATGAAGTAGGGAAGGTTACCTCAAGGTCATGAATCTTGGCCTCTAGTTTTAGTTGAGAATGTAGTTTCTTCCGTCTGAGCCTGTCTTCTGTCACCATACATATTCGACGAGCTCTAATCTCAGCCTGTATCTTGGTCCATGAATGAAGATGAGTTATAGTTGTACTAGCTTGGTTTTGAACAGAGAAACCTTGAGTCAGGGTTCTCAGTTTTGTGAATCCTCTCAAGCGACGTAAATGTTTTCTAGCCTGGTAATTTCAAAAGTCAGCATCTCAAAACAGAATCCGAAGACATTAACAGAAGCTTTGCACATAGTAATGTATACATGATTCACACATCTGTCAGCGATAAGTGATGTCATAATAAATGGTATGCATGACAGACAGACACACACATAATGTGCCGGTTATGGATGTGCTTAAATCAACCTAGATAGCTTTGACTTGGTTTGCCTCTTTGAGTTTTTCACTTTGGCATACCTTATAAGCTCGGAATGCTGTTTGAATCCTTGTTGCAGCAATAGTTTCAATTGGAACTCCAGCTGACTCTAGATTTTTGCTTTTAATGCCATTTGCTAAACCGCTGGACTTTTTCCCTTTATAAATCTTAGTCTGAAACATAATTAATTCCCATGAATCTCTATATCAAAATGTGAGAATATATGTGCGGATATTAGGCCACAACAACCCTAAAAAAAACAAGTACTAATATATTCTAACAAATAACGTTGCTTCAGCCTAAAGAAAAAATAAATAAACAGGACAATTAAGAGGTCGTTATAAACAATAACATATGCTGCTTCTCATATACATGTTGCCAGACTCAAGATAAAACTTCAATTTCTAGAAGTACTGTTTGAAAAAAACTAATCATATTGAGCCGAGTGGAATCAACTGATTCAAGTTAGCTGACTCACCCCAGAAAGTGAGATAAGGGTTGGTTCTTGCTGTTGTAATAGTTTACAGGCATGTTCCGGTCCAAAACTCTGAATTACTTAACGTAGAACAAATCTAAACTTTGCCTTTCAATTTATAACAACAAAGTATTTTGCATTGACAAAATTTCGGTTATTTCAATTCTAGGACGATGACTATCTAGGGTCTAAAGATAACTTACTCACAGTTCAATCTCTCATACTGCATGTTCAAGATAAATTACCTTCAAAGCATTCAAAGAGATTTATTTTTTCCTAGAAAATAATGAAAATAAAGTGGTTTACGATGAATTTTTAAAACTCATTTATCCATTACAAATTCAAACGAAGAAACTAAGACAGATAATGTATTGTACCTTTACTTTCTTTGACCTTCCTTCTTTTGATTTTCTTGAGTTAATTATCGTCTTAAACCAATCACCTGAACCCATTCTTGATGTCAAATAGCTTCTTTCAAACTAACATAACCCTGAGAATATTAAAAAATTAGCACAACACTACACATAAAGATTTGTTCATAAACAGAAGAGCAAAGACTGTTAGAGTTGCAGTGATCTGTCCCCATTGGTTGTCTTTCTATTTATCCAAATAACTAACTGAAAACATTAGACCTATTTCTTCAAACACTTGTCCGTTCAAGATTATATCCTCGTGGAAGTAATTTATAGTAAAGCTCAATATATATTATTAGTGTAGAATTCTTCATCCATGAAACATTATATGATATCATTTATCATATTGATTCAGAAAGACAGAAATAATGGGATATTGTAATATAGGAAATAAATAGAGTCCAGTTTCTCTACTGGGGTTTTTTTTATGTTGTCCTTTACTGAATATTAAAAATACACTATGGTACTTTAAAAATCTTTTTAGTATATTTTAAAACATCAAAATAAGTGTCCATCATCAATATATTTTGAAGGTACAACAGAGAAACAGCACGTAAAAAACCAGCAGAGAATCTATATTCAAATAAATACTTGGATTTTAAGGTGCATGGTGCAAGTAAAATGTAGGGAATTTAGTATTTTAGGGTTGAAGGGTATTTTTTTACTAATATTAAAGCATGCTGGGTTTTCCAATTCAAGCATACGACAGCTTAATAAGTTTTGGAATTAGATTTGAATTGATGCTTGAAGTTATTTTAAAATTCTGTTTCTTTTTCCCCAATCTAATTTCAACAATGATTTATTGCTCCCACTTCCTGTCTCCCTTTCCCTCGATCTCTTTTTCCCTTCCCTGATCACGGAACTACATCACCATATAACCACTACTATTATGCTTATGCCAAGAAGAACTTTGGTTGCACAACCAGAATATAGACAAATTTACTACCACTGGTCTAGATAGTCACTGTACAACTGAATTTTATCAGCAATAACAAGAAGATCAGAGACCAAACATCTATCAGACTGCCTCATAGTTTGCAGCCAGCGAAACAAAATTATTTGCTCATTTTGAACAAAACTTCGGTTACTATTATCATTCCGTTCGTAGAAATAAACAAATCTCAACAACAATCTCCCAGACAACTGGAATTCATAATAAAACTACCTAATGGTATGTACTCCTTCCATATATGCAGCACCAGAAACACGGATCACCAACTAAAGTACTAAACTACTTAATAAATTAAAAAAAGATATATGCATAGTTAACTCGAAAGCTAATAAAAATACCACAAAATGTCAAAATCCATCTGGGTCTCACAACACGCCCAACTGGACACCCAAAATCACGTTTATGAATCTAGAAAATGGACCAAACACTGCAAGAACAAACAAAAAGCACCTGAGGAGGGATGGCATACCAGAGAACAAGGGAAGAAGTGTCGAAGGCAACCCCTTTTTCCTCACTTGCGCAACAAGTTTTCTGGATGGAAAAAAGAAGTGGGGAACACTAATATCAGGATAGAAGTAAAGAGGAAGGAAATATCAAAGGGAACAAAAGGTAGGTGTTGAATATGGATAATGGAATGCCATGGCCCAATACCACCTTTGATTTCACAAAGAGAAAGAAAACAAACAAAAAAATATTAAAGAGAAAAATCTCTCTTTTCTCTGTCTCACTCAATCAAAGGCTCAACAAACGCATATAAACACCACAAGGCCCACACATCTGAAAAAGAAATGAAAATATGAACATTGGCGTGCAGTTTAGTCTGACAGATAGAATAACGTAATATTACATGACACGGTAGCATTTTGGAGAAATTCAACAACGGAGGCTACAGCTACAGTTATAACGACAGCAGAACAAACCGTGAAAACAGAATCTTGACGTTGACTGTGTTGCTTTTTTGGCACTTTTTTCTATTGATGAACATGAATTTGCAAAACTAATTCTTTTCATCTTTTGGGATAACACATATTGATTGTGACGTTTGACTTGGTATAAAAAATATGAACCATAGATTTATGGTTGGTGCAACTTTCAAAAAATTGAAAGTTAAAGACTTGTTCCCGGCGAGGTTCGAACTCGCGACCTTCGGCTCATAAGACCAACGCTCTAACCAACTGAGCTACGGGACCACATTAATTATTCAGAATTTTACTTTATTTCTCCCAATATAAATCTATTCATGGAAGGATTCAATTATTAATTTTGGATATTCAAATGTCAATTCTATTTAGGTTTAATAGCCAATTTAGTCCTCACTTTGGTTGAAAAATCTCAATTTAGTTCCTCGTTATAAAAGTGTTTTGAATTAGTCCTAACTTTTAAAATAGTGGGTCAGATTGGTCCTTTCTGTTAAATATAAGTTAACAAAATTAATGGATGATGATGTGACACAACTTAAAGCTAACGAGAGACCAATCTAACACATCAGCTTTAAGCTGTGTCACATCATCATCCATTAATTTCGTTAACTTATATTTAACGAAAGGGACCAATCTGACCCACTATTTTAAAAGTTAGGACTAATGTAAAACACTTTTATAACGAGGGACTAAATTGAGATTTTTCAACCAAAGTGGGGACTAAATTGGCTATTAAACCTTCTATTTATTTGCCTAAAATAGTTTCGATAGGACAGCTGTATTTTGAAATAACTCATGAAAAAATACATTTTGTGGACCTTGATGTATAGCTATACGTCTGATTCCCTACTTGTTGCTTTCATGAGATGACAACGCTTACATGGTTTAATTAATCTATTCTTTTTATTCAATGTAAAATTTCTTCTCACACTTGTAAACAAAGTTATCTTTTGTTGATGTGGTTTAAATGAACATTTCATTTATTAAAGTTTCAATGCTTGATTTGTCAACATGATTCTTGTTTAGCAAAACATAAATTATCAATATAAAAAATTTGGATTCTTAACGTAATGTTAGATGACATTTTTGTGGTCTATGTATCGTGGTGAACACTTTGCAAAGAAAATATTACCTGACACAGTTTAAATTATGTTAAAAAAATAAAATTAAAATGACGAGAGTCAGGGTATTCTTTAAAGTTCAAGATATTGAAGTAATGATTTTGTAATTTAAAAAATAAACACATCATCACGCACATTCGTTTTAATATAAATGCAAATACTGGGACATTATAGTAAAGAAATTAACAGTAGGACTTTTCTTTATTTAAATATACTTCCTAAAATTTTCACTGCCGTGTCATATAACTTTTCAACTACTTTTTATTCATTTATTGATTTCTAAATTAGTGTCCAAAGGCCAGCAACACCAAAATCGGTTTTTTTTAAGTTAGTTGGTCAAATTACCGGATATTTAATGGCCTATTCACTAGCTATTTTATTTTATTTTTTCAGATGTTTTTCCCTCAAAAAAGGAATCCATATAAATACTTTTAGACAGAAAAAATAAATAGAACTTTGCTTCTTAAACATAAATAGTTTTATACATGTTAAATTTATTTTCTATTAGTTTTTCAAAAATACATTTTTTAACTCAAAATAAATTTAAACTCATTTTTTTACCAGTTAGAAATACTTAAAAAAAAATCTATATGTCAAAATCTATAATTATTTTTCGCCTTCTTATTCAATTCTCTTGAGCTGTCAAAATCTATAATTATTTTTCTGATTTTCTCTTTTTCATCAAGATCTCAAGATCTCCTCCTAGTTCGTTAATCATTAAGGCATTTTGTAGAGGATCAGTCGAAGAAAATGTGCTTCTTGAATCCATGTAGATTCTATCCAAAAGATCTATTCTATAAAAAACCTTGCTTTTAGTTGGATATTTTAGAGCTTCAAATACGTTAAATTTCAGTTTTTTATCCTACACTTACACCTTTAGTTTCTCATTATTCATATTAATTATGACTTTGGCAGTTTTACTGAACAATTGCCAAGAATCAATGGCACTTCGGAGTTTTCATCAATTGTCATCAGTTATCATCTTAAAATAGCTTTTTTCTTTTTCTATTCATTATTCTTCCTTTTCTTCTCACCTTCTCTCTGTTTATCACTCTATTTTTCTACTTCTCGACTAGATACACTCTTTTCATGCTCTTCTACACTTTGTTTTTCTTCTCTCAATTTTTTAGACTCATGTTCACTCTCAATCTCTTTTTCTTCTCTCAGTATTTTTATCTCAAGCTCATACTCATTTTGTTTTTATCTCAATTTTTTGTTTCCTTTTCCTCAACCCTATATTCTTTTCTTAAATCACACTAATTCCCTTCCCTATTAATTCCTTTCCCTATTGTAGTTCCTTCACTAGTTTCTTGCATTGCTCTTTTGGATTAATTCTTGTGTTGACCGAGAGTTTAGATTCTTGTTGATCTACTAACTATTATGCAATCTGTCCAATCTGCACTTATAGGTTCCCAAGTGATGCTTTTGTGTTCTTTTGACTAGATGTAGATACTTGAGTGAATTGTGTTAATGCATCATCAATTTTGGACACCTTGTCTTGTGGTTGAGGTTGTTGTCCATGGTAATTTGATTGTGCAACTTGTCTAGTGGTTGAACCTCCATCTTGCTTCAAACTTTGCAATTGCCTTTAATTCTTATTTGATCTCCATTTGTTGGAGTAGATATCTGATGTTTTATATTCAGGCTCAAGGTCATTGAATTTTACATGGATGACTTCTTCTACTTTAGACGATCTAGAGTTGTAAACTCTGAACGTCTTAGATGTTTCAGAATACCCAAGCATAATTCCTTCATCACTTTTGGAGTAAAAAGATTCCAAAATTTTCTTTTGTATTTAGTGTGGAACATTGACATCCGAAGGGATGGAAATAAGAAATGTTGGGATTTTTGTTTCCACAACTCATATGAGGTTTTGCACAACATAAGTATGATGTAAACTCTACTTTGAAGATAACAGGTTGTATTGATTGCTTTAGTGCAAAAGTGTTTAGGAGAGTTAAAATCCTTTAACATGGATCTGGCCATTTATTGCAATGCTATGTTCTTTCTCTCAATGACTCCACTTTAATGTGGTGTCCTTAGAGTTGAAAAGTTATGTTTAATGTCATATTTTCCACAAAATTTTTAAATAATTCATTTTTGAATTCACCGTTCAAAAATGATTTTACAATCTTTTTATTTTCAATTCGTTTACAGAGTTTATAAAAGGCCTTAAATGCTTCATCCTTATGAACTAAAAGTAGAACCCATGTCCACTTAGAGAAGTCATGTACTATTACTAGTGTATAATGTTTACCACTCATAGAAGTTGTCCTTATAGGTTCAAATACATCTATATGCAACCACTTAAGAGGTCTTTCTGTTGAAACAATATTTTTACTTCTAAAAGACTCTTTGACATGTATATCTCTCATGCAAGCGTTACAAAAGATGGTATCTTTGCATGACACTTTGGGTAATTCTCTTATGAGGTCACGACGTTACAATTAGAGATTAATCTCATACTTGCATGTCCACATTTTGCATTGTCTTTTATTGACATCAAGCATAAGACGCTTTGAGAATGTAGTTCATCTAGATCTATCTTGTACAAGTTACCTTGTCTATTTGCAGTAAATACTAGTACACACTAATTATTTAGGACTTTAGATTGACCTTTTTCAAAACTAACATTGTACCCATTGCCACACAATTGACTTATGCTTAACAGATTATGTTTTAGGCCATCTACCAATAAGACATTATTAATAGAAGGGAAAATGTTTATACTTATCTTTTTAATGCCTATTATTTTGGCATGCTGATTTACATTGAATGTGACTATTCCTCCGTTCTTGCTCTTGAGGTCTTGAAACATAGACTTTTGACTCGTCATGTGTCGCGAGCATTCACTATCCAGGTACCATGACTGGATTTTTTTGTGATCATCAAGAAAATCTGCAAGAGAGATGATTATAGTTTTAGGTACCGATATTGCTTTGGGTTCTACTTTGTTAGTTTGATTCATTTTTCTTCTTCCAGAAGCTAGATGATGGAAGCAACTCCACACTTCATGTTAGAGCAGCAACGCATAACATAATCAAGCAGCGAAATGGAGAAATAGTGATGTTTATGGTGCACGCCAAGTGTTTGATGAAAGGTTCAGTGGAGGTTTGGTAAGTGTGTTAGGTTTCTTGTTAAGACTTTGACAAGTGTACTGAATCGTATCAAGTAATATAAAATGATAAGATCAAGAATCGTATCCCAAAGGACTCACGACCTAAACAGTTATGTGATTTCTTGATTAAATAAGACTTGAAAACAAACTCTTTTAGGTTTAGAATGCAAATACTGAAAAATAGATATGCATGCAATTTCATCAATTGAACAAAAGTGCAAAGATGAACGGGTTTGATATTATGGAATGAATATGTTGTTGGGGTTAGATTTCACCTAGTTTACTCTCATGCATATATGAATTCTACTTCTTCATTAATGTTAATGTCACTATCTAAAATACGTAAAACCTGATTCCTCGGTGAAGAAAGCCTATCTTTAACTATTAGTTCATACGATTCATAGTATTCCTAATAATTAATTCTAAAGAACAAAAACTTAAGACAACCAGAACTCATACCCCCATTCCTGAGCAATATTGCTTCTAGGAATAATTCTCCGGATCATGAATTGTAAGATACCTTCCAGTACTCATGCAAATCATACATCATGCTAAAGAATGAGTTAAATGAAGAAAGCATTACGCAAAGAAAAATTACCCTAACAATTAATGAAGTAAAGCATATATAATCAAGAATCA